TGCTGAGAGAGGAGTTCCGGTGTACACACTCATATCATCAATTACAATCTCTTGTGAATTGTAATTTGCCCAGTCTTGATTAAAAGGCCTGCAATTCTCTTTTCTTGCTGCTCAATATATCCTCTGCTTCCCATTGATAGTACTCATTGTTGTTCATCTTAGCACCAACATGGACCTGCCTTTCTCTAGCATCCAGCAATTTATGTAGCTGAGGCTGTCCCAGTAGAAAGAAGCTGAGAGGAGCTTTTTTTAAGGAAAAGCATGCATGCGTGGTCCTATGATTGCATCATAAGGCATGACATCCAGGTAGTTATGACAATGTTAGGAATCCTAGGGTAAGTGTTTTGCTTTACTGTTGGTTTCATATGTTTGTTCATCTGTTCATTTATCCATGTATTAGATAGTTTTTGAATGCCACATATGTCTACACCTAACTTTGCTTCAATCTAGTAGGTTCTTAATATAGATTTTATAAATGAGAAAATGAATGAATGAATAAATACAAAGATAAATAAGACTTGGTCTCTGCTTTTGGAGAGATAAGATAATTTAACTACTTGCTTGCCCCAAGTTTCTTCTTTCTAACTGCAAGATTTTGGGAAGGGTGTTCAAAGAAGATGGGTACAAATACCACCGGAAACCTAGTCTCCCTATATTTTTAGTTCTCAATTCATTATCCCTAACTCTAAAAGGGATCTGTTTTAGGTAGGATTTATTTCTCACCTAGGAAAGATATTAATTGACTTCGATCTTACTCATTTTTGGTTGGAGGTAACATGCAGTCATGGCTGCACATTTTTCTTTATAGTCACCAGTTTCCAAGGCACCTCATCTGCTATAAACTCTAGCTTCCTACCTCTCTTATATTTAATAAATTGTGACTTAAAATAAGTCATTTTAAATGTCCGTATATGAAATATAACATGTGATTGTTAAGCATGTTATGAATTGTTTAATTCTTCCTTTTCTTAGGCTGTGTGTCACTTGGCAATTTTTTAAAAAATGCATTTTCCTTGCCAGTGTTCATTAATTCATATCAAGTAAATGTCTGTCATTGGCTTCATTCCTTGTTTGTGAATCTATTTCACTCAAATATATCTAAGGTTGAATAAGCTTGTGAAAAATAATGATCTATATCTATCTCATTGGAGAAGAGCATGAGCTGGTACCTTTGTGTAATTTAACATTTAATTGCAGTGATAGTAATAGATAGTTATATTTTGCAAGATTTTTCCTTTTTTTTGTGTTTCCTTTTTTTTTTTTTTTTTTTACATTTTTTTAACTGCTATTTATGAGATCTGTAAGACGACCAGAGATAGGGAATTTTTTTTTTTTTTGCCAGTGCTAATGTTTGAAAAATCTAAAACAACTTTTGAAAAACTAAATTTAATTGGAACTACTGGTACAGTAATCATTTTTCATTACCTGTTTCTTTGATAACAACAGTGAAAGAGATTGATGGAAAGGAGGTTTGAGAAGGGAGGGAGATATGAAGAGTAAACATTATAGCTTCCATGTTTTGACCGCTTCACATTTTATTCATCAATTCATTTGATCTTGGCCAACACACCCAAAAACCTCTATTTCTGATTGCTTTAAATTACTTTTTCTTCACTTTCAAGATATTCTTAAAAAAGCTGTTGGTTCAAAAAAAAAAAAGCAATTTAGTATTTTGCTGTATAATGCAATTTAGTATGCTGAGGTGGTTCTGTAATGAAATGTTTGAACAAAGCCTCTATCTCTCAGGATAAGATACCTTCTGGATATCATAGCTTGCCAGGAAAAATCTAGACCGGAGACTGAAACCATCTCCCCTTTTTGCTTTGAGTATATGGAGAACACAGTGGTGAAAAATTTGGCACTTGGCATAAAATCAGGAACCTGACTTGTAAAGCTTAGATAACACAGGACACTAAGGGTCCACTGCAGCTATCATTTCTTATGCTTTATGGGGTCTTAGGATTCCAGATGTTCTTTTCTCTTGGGTGCTGGTTAGTTGGGTTTTATGTGGCAAGGCTTAAAACCTCAGTGTATCGATGACATTTTCATTCAGAATAAATGGCAACAGACTTTTAAAAGAGAAGCTTTAAAATGACTGCAGAGACTGTCTACTAAATTCTCAATTGCGGTTTTGCTTCCTTTACCAATCAGGTTTCTCCATTGACTAAAAGAAAACTCTGTTGTAGCTAACTTAAGCAGAAAAGGAATTCATTGGAAGGATGTTTTATAACTCACAGGATTGATGAGAAAGATAGAGAAATAAGCTCAGAAAACAAGAAGGAACCAAAGGCAGTTGAAATTTTGTCTGCGCTCATACCAAAAGAAAAGTCTGGTTAGGAAGCCAGTTCTGTTTTTGTGACTTAAGTTGTTGCTGATCTGCATTACTCCCTCAAGGTTGAAATTCCTTTGTGGGAGCATCTCATTGATAGCCTAGATCAGCGATTCTCTTGTTTCTCGCTTTCAGGGGTCTATGAGGTCAAAACTACTTTTATAATAATGAGTAGGTATTGCTAGCCCTTTTCACTATGTTGACATTTGCACTGATGATTCAGAAGAAATGGTGGGTGGAAGTGCTGGTGCCTTAGCCTGAATCAAGGCAGTGGCTATGTTGACATTTGCACTGATGATTCAGAAGAAATGATGGGTGGAGTGCTGGTACTTTAGCATGAATCAAGGCAGTGGCATGTGTACACACACACACGCACACACACACACGTATTCTCTAGATATTTTAATTTTGCATATAGTCTGAAGCTCCATCTTGTCACAAGATATCACTGGGTATTTTCTGAGCTGTTTTACTGGTAATCTGATAGTGCAATGTGAGAACATTGTTATTGGAATCAGGTTGCTTGGGAATGAACCCTAATTTTCCCACTTACTAGCTCTGAGATGTTGGGCAACGATTAACCTCTCTAAGTTCCAGTTAACTCCTCTGTAAAAGGGGGATAAATAGTAGTACTTAGCTTACAGGCACGTTGTGAGGATTAAATAAGTTAATACAAGTAAATCATTCAGAGCAATGCATGTAGTAAGGCTTGTAGTAAACAGTAAGTATTAATTGTCATAATCATTATCATAAAAATTTCAAATTTGGCCTCTGACGAGCTGGTCACAGGAGAAGGGATCACAGATGTGAATCTGAGCTCTTTGGTTCTTATAGAGCTGGATAACAAACTCATCAGGTCAGGATATTGATCTGGAAACTTGAAGTGCTGCTGGTTTTAGATTAAAAATGTAAAATGTGTGCTTTTCCTTCATACTTCCTACTGAGTATGTGTTAGCCTGGGCTGATATCAAAAATTAATAATAAATTGTAAACACATGTTCAAGAATAAAACTTTACAAGAATATATATATCATATTTAGTTTGACATTGTGTGTTCTTTGTAAACAGGAACAAATAGTGGTCCTTCTTTTTTAGTTGTATACACAAAAGTTGTAAAATAGTATACTTCTTTAAGTAGTCTTACTCATTTAGTCATTATCTGACATATTGAGACTACATTTTTTTCTTAATATCTTAGAATTTTTTTTTTAAAGTCTACTTTTTTTTTCAGGGCAGGGATGTGACTTGATAGCACATTGCCTGAAATGGGATAGGCTTATAGTAGGAGTTTGCTGAATAAATAGTATTATTTTATTGAGAGTCATATTCTCTACTAGAAAATTATTTGCAAGAGCATATGCTTTCTTGTGACTGTAGTTAACATAGTTAAATTAACACCGTTTTGCATATTTGCAGGTTGCCGAGAGAGTAGGTCTTAAAACCCATAACAAGAAAAAAATTTTTGTAACTACGTAGGTGACAGATGTTAACAAGATAACTGTAGTGATCACTTCGAACTATATACAAATATCAAATCAATATATTGTACACCTGAAACTAATGTTATATGTCAGTTATATCTCAGAAAAAAAAAAAAGAGGAAGCTGTTTTAAAAAAGAGAGTATGGTTTCAGTGAATACAATGTAATTTCATGGCGGACTCCAAGGAACTGTCACTATATATTATGATGATGGGTGGGTGTGAAGTGGGACAGGAGAAGGAGGGATAATATCACGGAGAATACTCTTTCAGACATGAAACTACATCTAAGTGGATAATATAATTGAATGCTTGATTTTCTTTTGTTTTAAAGGTCCTGCTCTCCTCGAAATCCTGTTTTGATAGGGCTCCAGATGCCTGCCATGCTAAAGTTCCCTTTAATGGGAAACTGTCTTGCCCTTAGCCCTTGCTGTATGGATAGGCCCATTTTGTATTTAGCCATAACTTCTGGCTATGGCAGAGTGGACACTAGAAAACTAAACCGAGAACATTGAATTATGGCTTGGTACAAAAAGATCAACTGGTCTAATATTTTTTCCCTAGAGAACTTAAAGATACAAAATGTGGAGAGATGGAAACACTTAACAATGAGGGTAAAAACTGAAACAATCTTTTAAGAAATATCTTGAGGTCAGCAAGAGGAAAAGATGTGTTACCATGTATTGTGGAGAAGCAAAAATATGAGGAATCAGAGAAAGCTATTTAATAGTGGAACTGAAAGAATCATATATTTGGAATTATGCTGTATAAATAATGAGAGTAACAGAAGAAAGATTACCTGTTTGATTGATTCATTCCTTTATTTCACAGTTTATTGAGTTACTGCTATGTACCAGGCACTGTTCTAGCCCCAAGAGTATTGCTCTGAAAAACAGTCAAGCCAGTGATTCTCAACTGACTGTGCTTTTGCCTGCCAGAAGATGTTTGGCAATGTTTAGAGACATTTTGGTTGTCAGAACTGGGAAGGAGGGAGGGCTCTTGGTATTTTAGTGGACAGAACCAGAGCTACTTCTAAATAGTATACAGGGCACAGGACAGCTCCTTAATAAAAAGAATAATCCAACTCAAAATGTTTATAATGCTGAGATTAAACCCTGGTATAAGTCATCATAAATTTGTATTTCATACAGTAATTATCTTATAGTTGACATTTAACTTTCTTTGTTTTCAGAAGCGAAAACGTTGACTGGAGTAAAATGGAAGCCTCAGTAATATTACCCATTCTGAAGAAAAAACTAGCCTTCCTTTCAGGTATATTTTCTTCTTAACATTGGAAGCATTTGATATATAAACTTGTTTAAACTTTTTTCTTTGATAAGTTTGAAAGAAATGCATTTTATCTTTCTTTGAAGGTTTTGTTTCAAAGGTATGTCTGACACACTTTTAATCAGAATGGATAGCTGTGCAAGCCAACTCAGTCACTATGTTTCTTGGCAGGCCAATTTTTATTCCGTTCTATAATTTGGTTAAAATGACCTCTACAAGGTAGAGTATTTTCAAAGTATTTTTCAAAATGCCTCTTTGCCCACACTGTTGCCAAGAGTAGATATTATTCTTTTATAATCGTTATCACTGACATTTTTGCATCCTTATGACATCTCTGTGCAGCATTTGACAATATTGACCATACCTATCTTGAAAGTCTTTTTCCTCTTGGCTTGTGGCCTCTTTTGTGTTCATACAGGTGCTTATATTTTATTGTCTATTAGGGAAAGCAGAGGGCATGAGGATAAATGTAGTTCTGAATGTGAGAGCCTGTCCTCTGAATACAATTCCATAGTGGGTCAGAATGCTGCAGTTCAGATATGATAACCTTTTTTCAGATTTGGTTAAATGCAGGGGTAAAGCATAGTGTTTTTTGAGGAATAAATGAAACATCTCTTAGGAATAAATCATTTGAGGAATAAATGAAACATCCACCCCACTTGACTTTCTATATAGACTGGTAATTATTTTAACCAGTAATTTTCACACTTTTTATTAATAGAAGAAAACTTTTCAAGTCAACAAAATCATTTAGGGGATACAGTGTGAACACTATGAGTGTAGTCTATTTTTAAAAAATAAAACCTGTATTGCAAAAAAAACCGTGCAATTGAAGTCACTATTTATTAAGTTGAGCCATTTGAAATTACCACTTACTGAGGTCAAAGTGGTTGAATATCAGTAATTTACATAGTTAATAATAAAAGGAGATCATATATGGTTGATACATCATGAATTGCATTCATATCACTTATAGAAGTCATTTTTTTGCTTCACACCTTTTAGATCATATAGAATTGTTTTTTTTTTTAGTACTTGCTGGCTTTTAAGCTTCTAAAATTGCCATCAATGTCACTTGGGTCAGAAGATAGGCTTCATTGTGTAAATCAGTCATGTAGGGAACTTTCAAACAAGCTATGTGCATATGAAATTATTAGTTACATTTTAATGTGTATGGAAAATTGAAGAGGGCTTGAACATATGTGAAATGTGAGTGTGTTGCACTACCTGGCTTTCAGACTTCTGTGTACAGGTCCCATACTCTCTCCTCAGCTGGGCAGGGCTCTCGTGAACAAAGAACACCTGTCTGACCTTTGTGAGTTAACTCAGATCCTTCCTTGTTACAGAATGGTCTTTTTACTTGGTTTGTAAATTCTATTCATTTGACTTATGTCTTAGCCATTTTTAGGAAACATTCCACATATTTATCATAGCTCTTATCATTTTCTCCATTTTCTTAATCCCTTTTTATAATATTTTATGTAACACAACTTAGCATAAACCTGACACATTTCATGTTATTTTTTTATGGCTTAAAGCTCTTCTTCTTAGGCTGATTGGAAATTTATTTGATTTTACTTATAAATTTTTATTGTGGTAGGCATACAATAGGTATTTAATGAATTGATTACATTAAGAAGCAGACTAAATGGAAGAAAAGTAAAATGATAATTGATTGCTATGTTTAAGTGAAGATTTCATGGGTGAATTATTTTACTCTTTTTTTCTAAATATATAATTTTGCTATAGTACTGTAAACATACAGTATAGAAAATAAACAGTCATTAGTTTTTTACTGACGTCTTAAACTTGTAATTGTTTTAGTAACATTGGGTCAAATATTTATTATTTATTTAGTGCTTTAGTGTCTATTACATGTTAAATTTATTAATTTTTTCTTTAATAGGTGGAAAGGACAGACGAAGTGGCCTCATTCTGACAATTCCATTATGCTTGGAACAGACAAATATGGATGAGCTGAGTGTCACCTTAGACTACCTGCTCAGCATTCCAAGGTGACTCTAAAGGTGTCTTTTCTTAAATCTCAGTATGTTTTCATTCACTTACTAATGATTCCTGCTATTATTAAAGTATATTTTGCTATTTTATCTGATTTTATTAGCAATGAAATTAACGCCAGAATCAGTAATTTATACCACAGCAGATAAAATACTTATTTTATATTCTTGATGCATTGAATGATATGATACATATTTCCAAAAGGTATGTATTGTTAACTTTCACAGAACACAGAGATTGAGCATCTATATATCAGGCAGCTTCAGCAAACTTAGAGAAGTGAATTCAGCAGAAAATGTTTTTTATTTAGTTAGCTATTTCACTATATAGATAAACAGTTGTAGGTTTTAATGTATCAAGTGAAGGCTATTAGGAGTTTAAAACATTTTTATTTTAAAAAATGCAAAAAAAAAATGTTTTTTAATTCAGAGTTCCTTAGATTTTTAATTTTTCAATTTCTTGGATGAAGACAAAACTCAACCTTTCTATTTTCCCAAGCCTCCCCACCACTTCAATAACAACTGCATCAAGCCCCTTCCCCAGCTTCCTCTCCCATATGTGACATTTGGGGGCTGACGTCTAATGTGTAGGTCTCCTCAAAACAATTGGATCAGAATCTCTGGAGGTGGACCCCCAGGCATTAGAATTTTGGAAAAAATCAGTTGTTCTTGATTCTATAGAGATCTAACCTGTACAGAAGTTACCTTTCCATTTTTCTCAAGTTTTGAATTTTTTTTTTAATTTAAATTTGGATTTTAAGTCAGTTCTTCTTAATTGTAGAAAAACTCATTTATGTTACAGAATAAATATCAGGACGCAGAAGATTAATGACTTCCCAAAAATCACAGGGGCATTAAGGTTGTAAGTCTTTAGTCACTCAGTAAATATGTGAGATTCTTCAATGAACTTCTCATTGTTCTAGGTGCTGAGAAAATACATGAACAAAGCAAACCCAGCCCCTGCCCTTATAGGCCTTATTCCCTAATGGGCAAATGAATATTACAAGTAAATACACAGTATTTTAGATGTTCTTGAGTGCTATGAAAATAGCATGAAAAGAGTTTAGAGAGGGATGGGTTGGGAAGGGGTTGTGTGGTAATCTTTTATAAAATGATAAGAATACTTTACAGACGTGATTGAAGTGAGGGGTAGGCCTTACAGATATTCAATGAAAGAGCATTTAAGAAAAAACATTTAAGCCAAAGGGAACAGTGAGTGCAAAGGCCCTGAGACAGGAGCAAACTCAGCATGCTGTGGGATTAGCAAGGAGGCTTGTGTGGCTGGAGCAGTTCAAGAGAGGGACAGAGTGCTGGGAGAGTGATCAGAGAGAAAGGATGGAGTCAGACCATAGACGACCTTGTAGGCCAAGGTAAGGGATTCAGTTCTGAATGAGAAGGAAAGCCGTTCTCGTACTCTGACTGAGGGAGTGATTTGATTGTGTCATTAAACATTTTTAAAAGCCCTCTTGGCAGCTAGAAGCTGCCACAGTATTAGTAAAATAATATTATTGCTTAATGGAAGCATGTTATTTAATGAAGATAAATTGTAAACAAGTAATTATAATAAAAGCATAAGTGAAATTAGTGCCATTATATAAGTGTAAGCAGAGCTCTATGAGTGGAAGAGGAGGATCCCTTAGCTGTAATCAAAGACGTTAGTGAAGAGCTACAGAATAGTGAATCCAGGAAACCCACCTGCAGTCTCTTCCTAGTCAGAGGGAGTGAGTTTGTTAAGGAGCCTCTCTTCTTTTAATACCTGTTTTAACTCAGTCACCTTACCCTTGAAAGGCTCTTTACAGAGTAAGAATGGGGAGGCAGGGTTTTAATAGATTTTTTTTTTATTATTATTGTTCTTAAAATATAATTATAAACATGTTAATAGTGTATAGGAATTTATTAATATAGCACTTCAGCTCCTCCAGCATGCCCTTTATAAAGGACGTAACATGCTTCCAAATTAAATATGTCGTTAAAAACAGTTTAAACTCCACTTGCAGGAATGAAGTAAAAAAAATTAAAACTATCCCTTTCAAGTAGTTGAAAGATCACTTGGTCTTGCAGTTTTCAAATAGTATCTTTGGATTGTGTATATTTTCATTATCTATCTTAGTAAAATGTTAGAAAGTATGATTAAGGGTGTTTTTAAGTACCCTAAAAGATAAATTTAGAGTATTTTATGCCCTTAAGATCACTGCAGATGGTATTTGCAAGCTTCATTACTTTCTTTGTCTTAATATACAGATTAATTTAGAGTGTGCTTTGAAATATAAACGCTTTGTGTAAAACTTCTTTAACAAAATGATGTGTAATTTGTACTTCAAACATGCAGATGCCAGTGATAAGAAAGTACCAAATATGGGGATGACACACTTTTCTTTGCTCTAGTCCCAACTGAGAAGGCCCTCCACTGGGCAGCTCAGTGTCTTAGCTCTCCTGTCTGCAAATTCCCATAATGTCCTAAAGACCCCTGAGTCTCTTCCACCTATCTGAAGTCTACTCAGTACCCAACTACTCTATCTAGGCTGGTCTCTCTTGGGCTGTGTACCCCCTAAGTCATAGTGGTCTTCCTAGATGTCTTGTTGGTGGGGAACTCTAGGAATTTCTTCCTTACCTGATCCCACAACCATCAATTAAATGTCAGATTTGCTTCCCACAGCAAGCCTTTACATGCTGTTGCTAATTCAGAAATGATCATTGTATTGCTTCACTTCTTTTACCCCCAAAGAATACTTAGTGGGTCTTCTGTTTTGTAACACAAACTTAGAACACGTCAACATTTTTATTGTGATATAATTCACACACCATAAATATCACCTTTAAAAGTGTACAGTTCAGTGGTTTTTACTATATTCACAAAGATATATAACCATCACACTCTCCAATTCCAGAACATTTTCATCAGTTCAGAAAGAAACCCTATACCCATTAGCAGTCACTCTCCATTCTCCCCTCCTTCCAGCCCATGGCAGCCACTAATCTGCTTTCTGTCTCTAGGTATTTGTTCATTTTGAACATTTTATATAAATGGAATCATATAATATGTGAGCTTTTATGTCTGGCTTCTTTGACGTAGTGTAATATTTTCAAGGTTTATTTATGTTATAGCATGTATCAGTACTTTATTTTTATGGTTGACTAATGTTCCATTGTATGGATTGCCACAATTTGTTTTTCCATGTATCAGCTCTTGACATTTGGGTTGTTTCTACTTTTGGCTATGGTGAGTTATGCTGCTGTGAACATTTGTGTGCACATTTTTTATATGGACATATGGTTCAAGTTGCCTCACCTTGAACACTTCTCTCTTTTTTTGGAAGCTCAGTTTTTGTCTCTGTCTGCAGAGGTGCTTGTCCTTCCAAATCTTTAGCCATATCATTCTCATTCTTGTTACCTTACTGTTTCTCAATAGAATTGAACATCACTTCTCCAAGAACCCTCCTGAGAGGTTGATGTGGATTCTTGGAGGGCAAGGGAGGGTTAGTAGAATCCCCTAGACTGTTGGATTTAAATCTCAGGACAAGGGGCAGCTGTTTACCTTTCCCGTAATGTATGCATTGGGAGAACTTTGAATTGGGAGAGGTTTCATCACCAAATCCTTGCTCTGCTAAGCAGCCTTGTAGTTTCTTCTACAGTATTGGAGTGAGGGCAGTTGAGATACTTGTAACAAGTTTATTATATAAATAAAACAGTAATAATAAAGTTATATAATTTTGGTCTCCAGGATGGCATTTTTTCCTATAGTTGTTGCATTTTACTAGGGTAGGCTTCTGGGAACTCGTTAGTAAATATTTGAGTAATTGGATATAATATATAGCAATAACACATTTTCCAACACTCAAGATAATATTTTGCTGGTAGAATGACTGGGAATGCGAAAGTGAGAGCAGATGTGGGTCAGACAGGGTGTATTCAAGCTATGAATTATTATGTATACCAAATGCTGCCTCTTCTCATTAAATTTCTCCAAAAGAACACAAGCCCATTTCCAGTGGTTTAATAATGGCTAACTTTATTTTCTACTTGTTTTATTCTGTTACTTTACAAACTTTAACCTTATACATCTGGCAGAAAGAAGAGACAAGAAGTACTCATTACTTGGCAGTCATTAGTTACATACGTCAGTGTGATCCCATTTTACAAGTGAAGACATTGAGAGACTAGTGGGACTATGTAAATGTTGCTTTGATATCTTCTCTTTTTAAGACAGTGACTTTCCATACATTTAGAGTAACTTTCTTGCCAGATTAACTTGTAAATTCTCAGTATTTCCTGAATTGAGAAAAGTAAATTGCTTGAGGACACTGAACAGATACTCTGAAGAATTTTATTTATTGATAATATAAACCAGACTAAGTAAGATTAATACTGCTCTGTGTATGATTAAGATATAAATTTTATTTAGGATTATAAAAAATAAAATATGAAGCTTGTTTTAATGTTTTGTAGTTTTGTTTCATTTCAGTGAAAAGTGTAAGGCTAGAGGATTTACCGTCATTGTGGATGGCAGAAAATCACAGTGGAACGTGGTGAAAACAGTAGTCTTAATGCTACAGGTAATTTTATTTTTTACTATTAAGAAATGACTTTAGTTTACAGCAACAGATAAGATGATAATGGTAAATGTATTTCATTTATTGGACTGTGCCCAAGCTTCTCAGCAGTGACTGAGCTCTGAAGTGCACAGCTCACTATTGGATTGATATATTAATTCAGTTCTCGTAGGTTTGACTTTGAGTAGTAAAATAAAATTCAAGCCTATTTTAAAGATTTGTAAATGATTGAAAATAATATGTCATATTTAAATAATTGAAGCAAGTAGGCCATTCTATCTAAAAGTGTGAGGGCAGACGTTATCAGACTCACCTGGGAACTTTTGCAGGCTGTAGTATCTGCGTCATCCCCGCTCTGCCTCATTCTGATGTAACAGGTGAGGAGTAGGACTGGGTAAGTCTAGTCTGAAAACGCTTCTCAGACAGTTTTGATAGGTCTCTCCCTTCTGATCTCCTCTTTCCTCCCAAAAGCACCAGGATGTTGGATGGTCTTATTATTTATCTCTAACCCAGAAGAAATTTACCTGACAGCCATTTCCCTGAGGACTTTAGCTGTTCACAAATTAGCATTTAATAAATAGCTGCAATTACACAGTCCCTAATCTGATTCTCGTCTTGTGTTTTACATTTCCTTGTGTTCCTTACAGAATATTTCTGTAATCCCTTGCATATAATAGGTACTTAGTAAACATTTGTTAATATAAGGGTATTTGAGGATATTATGATCTGAAAAGGAAAAATAAAACATTTGAGTGATTGAAAGGGGATAGATTTCTCCCATCTACCTGGGTTTCCTTAGAAGGGCTTCTAAAGAAGGCAAAAGTTAAGTGAGT